CACCTAACTAACACTAAGGATAAGAATAGCATGATCATTCCAATAGATACAGGAAAAAGTCTGAAAAATCCAGAATCCAGGGCTGGGGTTGTGGCTCAGCGGTAGAGCACTTGCCTAACATGTGTGAGGCCCTGGGTTCAATTCCCTGCATCACATAAAAACAGATAAATAAATTATGGTATTGTGTTCGACTACAACTAAAAAATAAATTAAAAAAAAAGAAAAATCCAGCACCATTCATATTAAAAATGCTCAAGAAACTACAGCTAGAAGGAACTCACCTCAATATAATAAAGGCTGTGTGTAACAAACCCAAAGCTGTCATCATACTAAATGGTGAAAAAGAAAACATTTCCTCTAAAATCAGGAAGTTCACTCTCACCACTCCTATTCAACTCTAGCCAGAGCAATCAGGCAAGAGGAGAAAATTAAAAGGTCACAAATAGTAAAAAAAATTATCTTTGTTTGCTGATAACATGATCCTATGTCAAGAAGACAAATAACAAAACAAAAACAAAAAAACTCTATTTAAAAAAAAAAAAAAAAAAAAACCCTGCACCAGAAGATTTCCAGAATTGATGAGCACGTTCCGCAAAGCAGGACACACCAGCACTCCTGCATCAGCTCTTTTACCCTTTAATGATGAATCTGCTGAGAAAGAAATCAGAGAAACAATTCCATTCACAATAACATTTAAAAAAATGGAAATAAATCAACCAAGAAGTGAGAAACCTGTACAATGAAAACTGCAGAATGCTGGAGAGAGAAAGTGAAGACCATGGGGACCCACCACCCACTGAACTTTCTCCTACCACCAGGTCTTCCTCAGTCTTTAGAAAATTTGGAATGAAACCACCACTTGACCCAGTTATCCCACTCCAAGATTTATACCCAAAGGACTTAAAACCAATCTACTACAGTGACACAGCCACATCAATGTTATAGCAGCTTAATTCATAATAGCTAAATTATGGAACAAACCTAGATGCCCTTCAACAGTTTAATGGATAAAGAAACTATGGTAATATATACACAATGGAATATTACTTAGACTTAAAGAAGAATGAAATTATGGCAGTTGCCAGTAAATGGATGGAACTGGAGAATATTCTGCTAAGCAAAATAAGCCAATCCCAAAGAACCAAAGGCCAATTGTTTTCTGATATGCAGCTGCTAATTCACAACGGGTGGGAGAACAGAGGTAGTTTGAACAAGACAGAGGAGAGTGAAGGAAGTAGAAGGGGTCAGGGGGTAGGAATGACAGTAGAATGAATAGGACATCATTACCCTATGTGTACATATGATTACATGACCTGTGTGACTATACATCATGGACTATCAGGCAATTAGAAGTTATATCCAAGTATGTATGATGTAGCAAAATGCATTATACTGTCATGTATAAGTAATTAGAACAAATAAAAAATATTTTTTTTAAAAAAAAAGAGGAATAACAGCACTGTCTCCCAGCTTCAGTGCCTACCTGGGTGGAAGCTGACCTACCTGAATGCCAGACAGACCTGGGCAGGGCTTCCTCCTGCAGCAGGGTCAGTGCAGGACCTCCTTAAACCCCAGCACTGTCTTGAGGTCCAGGCTGAAGTCAGGCTAACCAAGGAGGAACAACTACCGACCACAGGCAGGTGGCCCATGAGGGCCAGGGAGTGACAGCAGTTTTAAAATTAAAAGCTGAGGCCACAGGGAACCTTTTCATCTTCAGCAGAATTCTGAAGTCTTGATTCTAAGTGATGCCACCCCCAGGGGACACACTGGAAATTTGAGGCATTCCTGCTCATGGTGATTAGTGGCCTGCTCCTAGACAGTAAACTCTGACAATGCCAAGATATGTCATCTATTACACCTTCTAGTCTTTCCCAACATTCATGTAAAGATGAAAAAAATCTTAAAGTCATTTGAGCCTGCGAGCTAACTCTATTTTGCACAAACTATTCTTTGCTCACTTTAAAAAAAATTTATTTTCCAGGAATGCAAGTAAATTGGGAAAGAGTATATATGTTTTACTGGGAAGCTTACCAAAACAACTCCAGCAGTGCCATCACAGGAGTGGCCTGCATGTACTGCTCGCTGCCTGACCTGCGTGTACCGCTGACCTTTATGCACCTGACCTGCACGTATCGCTGACCCAGTCACAGTGACTTACAGGCACAAGCATCTAATCCCTTCGTCATCTCTCGGTGATGACCTTCTTTAAGATAAAAGAAGTCTTAAAAAGAGGAGTCTGGGAATAATTCAGTTACATTTCAGGGAAAGCCAAGGGATCCCTGATGTCCCAAGTGTGTCCAAGGTTGACAGTGGCCAGGCAAGAGGCAAGGCCTGTCTACCAATGGTAAGGGTCCCCCATGCAGAGAACAGTGTCCGTTGGGTGCTGAGCTGGTCATCCAGTTTCTGCAGAGATGAGGCCTGTGATCCAGTCCTATGGTCACCAACATGTTTCAATGCAGTCACCAAGATCCAGGTGGAGAACAAGGACAGAATGAAGAGCCAAGTGGCTTTGGAAAAGTCTTCCAGATCCAGGATGTAAGCTGGGAGTTGGACTGCAGATGAAGGGGCTGGTAGTGACAAGCAGTTTGGTGGAGAAAACATTTAAAGGCACAGAAATTTTAACTGGGAGCGTCGGGGCCAGTCTCTTTTCTTTGGATTAATGGCTTCTTCATCTTTAAAATGAGGTCTGACCAAGTCTCCAAGGCTTAGAAATACTGCAACTTTGTACAAATGATAAAACTAATTCTTGACAGCTAGAATGTAAGCTTTGACTCAGAACTCTCTCAGCTAGTTTAAGGGGTCTCAGAGATCATCTAAATAAATTTCTGAAACCACGACTGCCTTCCATTTGTGAACCATGCAATCAATTTAATAGTCAACCCACATTTAATAAAACAAAGTTTTAAAACTATCAGTGCATGCCATATGCAGTGAGGGAAATTACCTGACCTGCATGTACCGCTGACCTGCACATCCCTGCATGACATTTGTTTTGGTGATAAACATCCTTCCAGAGGCTGGTTCCCATGAACCCAATGGGGGTTAAGAAGCCACGGCTCAGGCATCACCACTGTTACGAAGAATAAAGCTTGAGGGAGCCTCCCTTTGCTTTGTTAGTCCCCATGCCCCAAAAGATAACCAAAAGCAACCAAGGCCATTGTCGGACACCTCCTACCACTTCCTTATTCTAGACATTGTGTGTCCAACAATGTTCTTGGTGCCTGGTACTAGCTATGTTGAACCCTTTCTGCATTGAACTGGGTATTTTTACAGAAGAGGAAAGGGACACAGAAAGGTTAACCCTTGGTGGCTGTCCAGCCTCTGGAAGGATGGCATAAAGGCGGTTGAGAAGGGGCCTGGGTTCATGACGCCCATGCTGTGCCTCAGTTCTGAAAACGTCCTCCTGGACAGCCAGGGAAGAATCCTCTTGCACACCACACCTCTAGGGGCCACTCAAGTGGCAACCAGGATGATCCTGTCCTCAGGTGGAAAACATGTCCCTGCAGGTCTCTACCATTCTCCATCCAGCAACAAACCAGGGCCTCTAATCTCCACATGGAATGCTTCCATCCTGAACACTCACATTTATCTTCAAATTGTTCGTCTCCCAAGATGCCCTGTGACCACCCCAACCAAAGTGCCATGTCCATCTGCTCTACCCAGGTAATCTTTATCTCATCACTACCTGACATTGGATTATTATTTCTATGTTGACGAACTGTCTCCCCAGCTAGAAGGTGTAAGGGCTCAGAAGGGGAGCCTTGTGTCTACGAAGTATCGTACTGCCAACTGTCAGTGACTGGCACGCAAGAGGAAGGAACCCAAGAAATATTTGTTATTGAATGAACAAAGGAGGCTCTTCAAAGAACCTGAATATCAAAACAAAACTCCACCCCTTCCCTCCCTTTCAACACAGCAATTAACTGCCATCTATTTTTCCATTTCAAACCACTCATGTACACCCTCAAATTGCAACTAGAATGGTATAAGTTTTTCAGATCTTCAGTGGTGAAAAGAAGAGGGGTTCTCACAAATGAGCAGAGAAATTTCTCTGAGACAGCAACAAAGCTCACAAGAAGCTCAGCTAGCTGCAGAGCTCCTCTGGTCTGTGTATTCATTCTACTTTCCTGGTAATCCTTGCTCATCTGTGAGTCTACAGGAACTTAAAGCACAGTGAGCCCAGAAGGAAAATGAAATGGTTTTAAAGTAAAATCTCTAACTTGAGAACCTAGTATGAATCAGATTTTATATAGCCTGTAAAATACTGAAAGGAGATGTGTTCTGTGTAATGATGGGAGGCAAACCTCATACACAAGATAAGAGTACAAGCAAAGAGAAGTGAGTAGCACAAGACATTCCAAGAACAGTGTCCCACCTGTTACAGAAAGAAGGTAGGAAGTGGTGAAGGAGGTGGAGACAAAGAGTCCATTGAGGTATCACCTTTCTCAATGCTAAGCCTGGCCCTAAGACTGACCTCATAAACCTGGCATCTAGCTGCAGGGTGAGAGAAGGACTGGAACCTCTGCCCACTGGAGAGGAGAAGAATCTGCACTAGTGAACACAACCTTCCTTTTGCCTCAGAAGCTACAGAGGATGTCATGTCTGTGGTGGCAGAGGAAGAACAGAGCTTGAGGAGCCCAGAGACAGCAGAGGGGACTGCAGTCTGCTGTTAACTGGGCCTGGTGCACCCGGGAAGGGAAGGGCGTCCTTAACTCCCTTATTTCTTCAATGCTCCCCACTGTGCACTGCTTAAGTCTTGGGGAGGATCTGGGTCAGGCCTGTCAGCTCTTACCGACCTTGTAAAAGACAAGAGGTTTTGTGCTCTTAGGAAAAAGACCCAGACTTCGTGAGGCCACCTTAGTAGGAACAATGCCTACTGCTCATCCTAATAACAGGTGATGCTTCAAACAAACAGGTGCAAAAAACTTTCAAATGCTTATTGCACATGTTCTTCCCTCAGAAAATGCCCATCAAACTGGAGGAAAAGGAGACACTGGAAATAAATTCAGATGTTTTATTCTGTAAAGCACATATGCACATACTTCAAACACAGAAAATTAACCAGGGAGTTGAATGCCATAACAGATCAGCTTCTGACCATCATGCAGCAAGATAAGTGAAGTGGATCCGCTGGCCCTCATGACCCCAGTGCCTGCAGGAGGGCTGAAAACCAGTATGCTGAATCCTGACCCACCGCCAGAGAACACGCAGCAGAAATGGCAGGTTCCTAACGATGAGAAAACTTACAAATAGAATCAAAACTGATTCGAGTCATACAGTGACAGGACAAAAGGGAAAGGAAAGAGATCAATATGATCTGAACAACCATTTTAACAGTAAGTTGCTGACCTCTGAATGGACCTCCAGTCCAAGATGCCCAAGGACAAGCCAGTGCTGCTGCCCCTGAATGGCAAAGGGCCCCATCTATGACCCCTTCTAATACTGAGTCCACCAGCAGCAAGAGGAAGCTGAGGACTGAGCCTTGAATGCATGCACCCCAACAGTAACAGGCCCCTAACTTCCTGAGGGTCTGTGAAAGGCTCTTGGCCCAGGGCCCAGGGCCTCTCCTCTTCCCCAGCCTTCCTTCACACACCTGCCTGTGTTGCTTTAAATCTTCGAGAATTACCTGCTGTGGTGAATGCTGGATTTTAAAGTGTATGTCTGGCCTCAGGACAAGACATACTGCCCAAGTACTTCTGGCACTTTCTCTCCCCATGCCTAACGTGTCCCTCCCCTGGTTACAGATTCCAGCACTCCCTGTAATTAAAGCAAGGGCAATTAACACTGGCAACTAGCTAGATGGAACAAAGCAGTGAAACTGACCTTTTTCACTTGTCTTTTTTCTTCTACATTACTCTGCCAGTTATGAGTCTATCCCTACAACTCCACTTCATTGGGATTCTATTAATTCAGTAGCAGTTTAATCTAAAATAGGATGGTTCTAATGATACTGACATTTCTAAAGGCCTGGCCAAATGGCTCTTTCTCAATCTTGTCTCATTACACTCTCAAAGTCTCTCAAGAAAAAACTAAATTAACAAATTAGTCATCCATCATGTAAGCAACTCACATCATACCAAAAAATAAAAATAAAAACTGTATAGACAAAAACTGTTACTGTGCTTGAAATGTACTAAAAGGAAAAAAAAAAGAAGAAATACTAACATATCAAATAGCTACAATGATTATTTTTTAACAATCTCGATAAAAGCCCACAACTGTTTTCCATTCAAAAAGGCCTGGTATAAAATGTTCTGGGTCAATGAACTTCAGGCTGCAGGAACTAATTCTAACTTAGAACAGACCTCAGACCTAAAGTGAAGGGAAAGAAGAAATGGTGGTCCTGTCCACGGTTTTAACTGCCCTTCTGCTATGACAGTGCCTGGGAGGACACAGAAGTCATCAACGACAATGAGTTATTAAGGCAGATTTGTTGAGAAACACAGCAACAACATACCAACAGGGACTGGAGAAAATAATGCACACTTCTGTTTCTGTTTAAATGTTGGAGGACCAGAGGGCAAAAGGGACAGAGGAAATAGGTAATCAAACATTTCTGGTCCTCCTTGACCAAAAGCAAATCAAAACTGCACCCCTTCAAATTTCACAGGCGGGGTTTTCACGATATAGTAGTTGCCTTTCTCCTCCTGAAGATGTGTTGGTTATATAAAAATAAATGGAAACCAAAAATGAATCTCATTTCCAAAAACAAACAAGAAACCCTTTCCTGACCACTACGTTTCATTCTCTCTTCCTGTACCACTGTCTGCAGGCCAGAAGCAGAGCAGCGAGCTGTCACTCTACTCTAGGACCTCTTACTTAAATTTGTAAGCTATCTGAGTGAGGAAGCTGCTTTAACTTTTATGCAGAGGGAAGGAGCAACAAAGGGAAAAAAGACAGTAGAACATTCTGTGCCAACTGGAAAACCAGGTTCCTCACCATCCACATGGAAAATGAAACTTAGATCTTTACCATATAGGTGATTTTTAAATATTTCACTTTTTACTCAAGATAAAAGTACAAGTCTGTCCTAACTAGAGTAGTATTAAAATGTGACTATTTTATTTTTTCTTTAAAAAAAATAACAAAAACAAAAACAGAAGATAGGTATGCTTCCTTGCAAGCAAAATTAAGTAAAAGGTATCTTTGTTGTTACTATAATTATTAAGCCACAGACACACAAAATCCACAAAATGGATTGGTGGCTTTGGAAATGCAGTATCATATCAAAGGTGCAGACTGTTTCAAACATTCTGTACACATTGGGCTGAAACAAGAACCAAAGCAAACCTCAACCCCACCAGCAGTGAGATGCCTGTGACCTTGGTTAAAAACACCAGGACTTGTTCCCCTGCATCAGGACACAGGAGCTATCTAGTGTTATGCATATCTATCCCAAGTCCACAGGCCCCCCAGGTGAGGCTGAAGAGTTCCAGCTGCACCCAGTGCCAAGCACGTGCATCGTGGACCAATTTCCAAATAGATTTTTATAAATATGTACAAATCAGTTACAGGCACTTGAAATGTCTTTGGCTGGAATAACCCAACGCTGCAAGATCATGTATTCACAGAGTGGCCAGGCCCTGGCTGGGTTCAGCAGGCAATCATTATGGTTCTCAGTCTCTCTCAGAAAACTGGAAGCTGCGGGATCAGGCTTCAGCCAAAGCCACCTAGAAGAGAGAAAGACAGGCAATCCAGTTCAACAGTGAGGCCCATGAGGGCTCCAGCAACCTCCCAGAGACCAGGCACGCATGCACTGATCAGGTGGGGATTTATTCAGCCCCTTAGAAAACAATCTCACCTAGGCAGGAATTACTAGAAGTCTAAAGTCTTCTGCAAGCAGCAGTTGACTTGTGGAACCACTGTGCTGAGAGGTGCAGAAAGCAGCCCACTTGATCAGTGGTTCTCCAAGGGGGCTTCAGAGCACGTGCCGAGGTCGGCACCTCTGAACCGCTAAGGAGCCTGGGTCTATGGCTGAAAACCCAATATCACAATTCAGGGTCAGATAAAGACTACTTGTAATGAAAAGTCAGGGACAGACTTCTTTGGAGAAATAGTGCTGCTCACAATAAGTGGGGTAAAGAACTAACTGGGAATATCCATATACAGAATACCCTCCAGCAAAGTGTTGGGCCAGACTCCATCCCCAGCTTACCTACCTTCTCAGAACAAAATTCAGGATTGCTCTGACGCAATTTGCTGGGTCTGCCTTTGATAACAGCATAGCAAAACATGGTTATCACCATCACAAACAGGAAGTAACTGGTGTGCATGAGATGCAAATTTATTAGTGAACGGTCATCCTAAATAAACGAGAAAAAAACAGAAACATCTGCACTGAGTTCTGAATGACTTTAACACTGTTTCTGAAGCTGGGATTCCCAGCTCCAGACTGGCATCAGCCTCACTCTCAAGCTGAAACATAGGCCTCGCTTGTCATCACAACCCCACAGCTGACGCCCATTCAGTGGAGGCGCAGTGTCTTTCAGCAGTGTGTCACCCACTCCTTCCTCTGCCTGGCCTCTAGCCCACACTGCCCACACCCCACCTTCCCAGGCCTCCTCCCTGTGGAGGCCCAACACCTGTCTTTAGCCCCCTCTCTTCTCTTCCCCAGACTGCCTTCAGGTTGAAGGCTCCAGCCTGAGTCCACCAGAAGGGCCTCAGCACTTCACCCTCCCCAGAGCCAGCTTCCTTCCTTCTGCATTTTACCATTTTCGTAAGGTCCTTGCTGACCCTGTTGAGGTTTGTTGGGTTCTTTCCTCTGCAACCCCCCATATGCAATCTATCACCAGGCCCTGCTGCTTGTGGGAGAAACCCAGACATGCTTCCATTCCTTTTCCTTCCCATTTACATGTCCCAGGTGGCAGACCCATCTTTTTAATGCACTGCTTTACAAGGGCCTTGCTGCCCAACAAAGGTAGTGACCATCTGCCCCAGGAGAAAGGGTGAATGCCTCAGCTAGGCAGGGAGGGCCTTGTGGAACCTGGCACCTGCCCACCAGCCGCATCTCTCCTGCTCAGTTCTGGAGGTCCTTGGCCTACCAACTCCCACACTTGATAAAAATGAGCCATAGAGGCCAGGTGTGGTGTCCATACCTATAATCCCAGTGACTTGGGAGGCCAAGGCAGGAGGATGGCAAGTTCAAGGCGAGCCTGGGCAAATAGTGAGACCCTGTCCCTGTCTCAAAATAAAAAATAAAAAGGAGCTGGGGTTCAAACCCCAGTGCCACACATATGAACAAGAGCCACAGAAAAGGGAAAGGGCCAGGCCTAAAGAGAGAACTCCACCTAACGCCTGAGAACAGCAGTGCAGCCTTCACCAGGAGGAAGCTGGCATAGCACCTTCTCAACCAGACAGAAGGGCTTTCTCCTCCTTTCCTCAAGTCAGACCTATTCAGACTGCAACACCTCGCCCAAGACTCACGCCTCCTCCAAGGTCTACCTTTCTGAATTCCAAACAGAACTATCTATTGCTCCTGTTGATACTAACCACATATTCTGTGAATGGTTGCGGGCATCAGTGAGACCATGCAAACATCTCTTGCAAGCCCTACAGGTTAGGAGATAGCAGTTGCTGGGCAAAACAATAAATAAAGAAAATAATCAGGGGCTGGGGATGTGGCTCAAGCGGTAGCGCGCTCGCTTGGCATGCGTGCGGCCCGGGTTCGATCCTCAGCACCACATACAAAGATGTTGTGTCCGCCGAGAACTAAAAAATAAATATTAAAAAATTCTCTCTCTCTCTTTAAAAAAAAAAAAAAAGAAAGAAAATAATCAAATTTTTCTTAGCCAAAAAGGTGGCCTGTTTTTCCAAATCTCCTTTATTCTACCCAGGACAACCTCAGCTGGAAATCTAGAGTCACAGGGACTAAGCTCACCCTTGGAAGTAACCAGGGCCTACACTCCCCATTCTAGGACACACACACATTTCACTTACATCTGGAACAATAACTGTAAGCTTGGGATTCAAAGCATGGTAGACTTTTCCGATGGCCCCCTTGTAACACCAGAAGGGATTGTAATCTTGAGCATATTTTGTGTTGGCATCCCTGGCTGTTGTGAAGATCTTGTACCAGAGTGTGGCGTTGCTGTAAGTGTCAGGAACGCAATGCGGTGGCTGCCTGCAAGCAGAGGGAAAGACCATCAGCGACCCGAGACTCTCCCCTGGCCACTCCCGCTGCACCGGGCATCCTCAACATGATACGTGTGGGAAATACACATGCTTCTTTGGGATGAAAATATTATATGTGTAGTTTCAGTCTTATTTTTTAAATAAACATGTAACAGGAAAACTACAGGCACTTGACATCTGGGTGTTGAGCAATGGAGTCTTGCCTCCAAAATTCAACTCACATCTGATGTGGCCACTGATGCTACTTTTACACCTACTCTCAAATTACCAAAATTCTTTACTCAAAGCTTTACATACAAACTTTTGCATTAGGCATTATTCATTTTCTGACCTCATCTTGCAAACCTCCAAATGTCTAAAATAGATATATCCCAGTACAATTCCTCAGCGTTCAGCACAGAACTCTTGTAAATATAGGATTTATCTTGTGTATCTCACATATTTCTTTACAGATCATTATCTCCTTTATATAGAGAGAGGCACAAAAGCCCAAGAAAGAACACCTTAAACATAAAGCAACACTGATGCTCAGAAAACTGCAGCAGGTTTCAGAAATAAAAATGTGTTTAATAGAAAGTAAGGTCCAATTTGTACCCTCAGATGTCTGGAATGGCTTATCAGACAGGAGTAGAGATACTTACACGGTCACAGGGAACACCCCAGGGGTGGCTGTGAGGGTCATGCAGGCTGTGAACACCACCTGCTCACAGTGACCATGAAGAGCACAGTCATCTGAGCTCCAAGCTGCAGGCAGCGTGAAGGTGATGTTTATCTCCTCGTGGGCTTCCCTGCCTGTGAAAGACAAACCCATTTTTTTTTTTTTAAATAATGGCAAGAATTCATACATTCTTCTCTGGGATTCAAGTGAGTCATGAATATAAATCCACCCAGGGATTACCTGCCACCTGCCTTTGTGGGAACAGTCCTGATCCCAAGCATGAGACCTGTTCAACTAGCAGAGCCACCAAGTGGCATACAAAGAGATGCCCCTTTTCACCCAGGGCCTGAGATGCCAACCAAAGCCAAGGCAGCATCTGCACTGGAAAGCTTGACTAGGGGAATTTGCGTTGCTGTTCTAGACCCTGCAGCACACAGCACTCTCAAGTTGCTTCTGTCTGCTGACCTCATTTGTAAGTCACCAATATCCCTCGAATGTGGCCAAAGAAGGGTTAATGTTCCCTTTTTACATACAGAGGTCTATCAGATTTAAGAAAGATATTGGGACTGCTTAGTGATAGAGCTTAAACTAAAACCAAGAAGTTCTATATCGTGTGAGAAGATGATATGCATGCTTGCTACATGGAAAACCCAGAAGTCTTCATTACCATGGGATTAGCTCTCTATCAGACAACAGGAGACAGGCAGGCACTACAAATTCATTTAAGGACTTTACAAAAAAGCTTTCAGTAAACAAAGAGTCAAAGGTTAATCTTCCAAGCACTAAGAATCTCACATGAAGCCTTTTCTGATTTTTCCACTTCCAATGCCTTTTTGTCCTCCAGAACCATCAGTACCTCACAGGTGTAACATTAGTCAAAGGACAGTATCCATGTTTTTTTTTTTTTTTATAGGTGTTTAGTTTTCATATTATCTAACAAGTGCTTATATATCATTTCTTTTGTGCCAGAAACTATTTTTAAGTGCCTGATAGATACGTCAACTCATGTTATTTTTGTCTCTTCTGTAATCCCAAAATTCCAACGGGAGCAGGTCAGATCTTAGACTGTTTCTAGTTCTCCCAGCAGCTAGCACAGGACTATCAATGGGCACTCAAACAATGCTCAGGTATGGTAGAGCACCTGCCTAGCATGCATGAGGCTCCGGGTTCAGTCCTTAGCACTGAGCAGGGAGGAAAGCAGACTAAAGACAATGTCCTCATGGTAAGTACTGAAAATTCCACAGGATAGACTCAATAAAAATTATGTGTTTGTACATACAATTGAGTCTTGAAAAACATAAGGGTTACCCTCCACCCAGTAGAAAATCTGAATATAACTTTTGAGTCCCCAAGAACTCAGTCTGACTGGAAGCCATACAGACAATGCAGTTGATTAGCACAGGTTGTGTGCTGTATCTATAGTATACATGTGGACTGACACACTAGTACAGCAAGATCACGTTTACTACAACATGCTGAACTACTAGTGAAGAGAGGAACTGCTCACTCAGCAATGATGATCGCCACCCAGTATCCTAAGTTGGATACTTATAACACTTGAGATCACAACAGCAGTAAGAAAGGACTATGAAATCATTGCAGTGGGCACTACAGTTAGTTTTATACAGTTACAATTTAATGCCATATTTTAGGTTTGCTCACATTTCTCTTGTCTGCAAATGTCAACACATATAATTCTGTTTACAAAATGCATTTTGATAAATTTGAACTTTTTATAAAAGACATATTTTAAGGTAGTAAATTATTTTTAAAAAATTACCAACAGGGCCAGGGTTGTGGCTCAGTGGTAGAACGCTTGCCTAGCATGGGTGAGGCACTGGGTTTGATCCCCAGCAACACAAAAAATAAAATAAAGGTATTGTGTCCACCTATAACTAAAAAAAAATATATTTTTAAAAAATTTACTAACATATCTACAATTTTTATATTTTCTTCAATATTTCTAGGCTACACAGCTCATCTATAAGTTTTTTTCAAATTGTTGCAAATCTCCACCAACCCCCCTGCAAAACAAATCCAAGTAAAATCAGACTGCTGTCCAAGAGGGAATTGTAAGACCGCAAACAGACTTTACAGTTTTTCTTTTTTTTTTTTTTTGGTGTGTATGGTGCTGAAGCTCAAACCCAAGACATCACAGGTGCGAGTTAAGTGCTCTACCACTGAGCTACACTCCCAGCCCATCAGTTTCTGATTTTAGTTACAAGCTTTTAGAAAGGGATTACTGTATGCTCAGTAAAACATGTGGTACACAAGCTTCCTTCTTGACCTCAGAACTTAAGCTCAACAAAAGGAGACACACATGCAAAAACAAACAGTATGATGAATAGACCCATATGTGGCTGACTATCACGTACACACCTGAAAGTCCAATCTGATGTCCTAAAATGGTCGAGTACAGATGGGTGACGTTGCGAGAGTAGCCTCCGAAGGGTTTGAGTGGGTCCAGGGTTAGGGTGATTGCAACTGAGATGTTAACTGGGCCTGAGTCCTCCAGGGTCTGGGGGGACTGAGTGGACACTTTGGACTGCCCACTGGTCATTGTGCTCTCCGGAGTTGAGGTGTCATTTGATAGATGCTTTAGTGTTTCGTTTTCTGATACGCACAAGTCCAAATCATTAAACCGCAGCAGAAAAGTATTCCAATCCTTCAGTAAAGTGAGATAGAGAGAAAGAAACATGAGCAGTCCCAGAGTCTCCTACCGCAGGGACACAGTCATAACCCTCAGTGTGGTGCAACCTCACAAGAGAAGCCCATGATGTGGAGTCAATCGCTGTACCACCACCATGCACTGGCAGGACAGTGCAGTCTGCCTACTCACTGCCACATGCACACCAAAAAGAAAAACTACTGTGCCATAAGACAGCAAATACCCTATGAGATTAAACAAACACTTGAGCAAAATGTGTTTTTTTTTTTAAACCCAGCTTATTATACTTTTTAAAAGAAGATCTAGCTTCAGAATCAAACTTGAAAAAAAGTACTAAATAATAAAAGCACTAATCCAAATTCATTTCAGAGTTACAATGATAATTTTTTAAAACAATTCCTCAACAGGTTAATTCTACATACACTGCTTTCTCTTCCTAGAACACAAAACAGCAGTAAAGCCGGATGCTCATCTGGTGCTTGCTCCCACTTTAGGAAGGGCACAGAGTGTGTTTGCAGTGCTGTCCTCCTCTTCCTGTTCTTTCTCTTTTTTGCACTGCTACGAATAGAACCCAGGGCCTTGTGCAGACCAGGCAAGTGCTCGACCACTGAGCTGCATCCCCAGCTCCAGACTTCTCTCCTAACGTCACATCCTGCTGTCATGCATCAATGACTTAAATCATAATACAGTTTTTAAAACACAGCTGATTATATCATAGAGAAACAGATGCCAGTATCTATAAAGAACCCAACAAGAATCTATTTTAAATTTAACAGAAACCCAGAGATTTTTTTGCAGGGGTAAGAGGGTAAATGGGGACTGAATCCAGAGGCATTTAACCACATCCCCAGCCCTGCTTTATTATTTTTTTTGGAGAAAGGGCCTCACTAAGTTGCTAAAGCTGGCGATGATTTTGAGATCCTCCTGCCTCAGCCTCCCAAGCCACTGGAATTAGAAGCAAACAGTATTAATTTTAAAAGCATTTGAGTAATTCCCAGGAAGTCAGGAAATCTATCTTATAGCATCATTACAACTGTATGTTGACATTTACTAAGATAAACGGATATATCATATTTCATTTTTCCTAATGCCTACAAACTCAGTAGAAACATCAGGATTGAGAAGTGAACATTCTAATCTTATCCCAGCAAATCACAGACATGAAAAAAATCAAGGCCCAGAGCATATTAGGGGCTCTCAATTCCACTGTTGAAGGAAGAATTAAGTTCTGATTTGCAGCCCAAAATTTTCCCATGCATTCCTGCCTTTCCAAATCCCATACTGAAAGGCCAGCCAAAGCCAACACCAGGAGCCACTTTGAATATCAAGGGCTCATTGCCCAGAATAAATCTTTTTTTTTTTTTTTTTAGTTATAGTTGGACACAATACCTTTATTTTGCTTATTTATGTTTATGTGGTGCTGAGGAGTATACCCAGCACCTCACATGTGCTAGGCAAACGCTCTACCGCTGAGCCACAACCCCAGCCCCCAGAATAAATCTTAACCATTGGCCTTGGTTGCATATTCCACAGGAGTTTGAGCTCTGCAAGTAAGAAATGCCAGGATGGGCTGGGGATGTGGCTCGGGCGGTAGCACGCTCGCCTGGCATGCGTGCGGCCCGGGTTCGATCCCCAGCACCACATACAAACAAAGATGTTGTGTCCACCGAAAACTAAAAAATAAATATTAAAAAAATTCTCTCTCTCTCTCTCCCTCTCTCTTAAAAAAAAAAAAAAAAATGCCAGGATGTAGCAGAGATCTGATTGTGACTAGAATGTCCATTTTCAGCTTTAATGTGATTACAGCAACTTTTAAGGATTCAGGCAGAGGCAAGAGAGAGGAAGAATTAAGTCAGCCAATATGTGCCCTGATAAGAAACTCTTTGAAAGGGTTCCATAATAAAAATAGCTTAAACTTGTTAACTTGACCTATGTAAGACAGTTTGTGTGTGAAGACTGTCCCCACTGCCAAGATCACCTCCAATCTAGAATGCCAAAGAGAACAAGAGAAAGCCACAGTCCCAATTTGAGAACCCTCTCCTCTCCAGCACAAGGCACACAAACGCACACTCAGCAGAGCAACACTACCACCCCAATCTCACCCACATCCACCAGCAGGCAAGCAGGAAGAAAGATGCAAGAGGAGACGCTCCAGGGAAGACAGACTCTGTTCTACCACCCAAAACACTTACCATTAATCCAGCATCGTCTCTACTCATTAATTTAAAAAACTGATTCACTTCTATTAAACAAGAACTATTAAATTTGTTGTTTTCTAATATATAAAATACACAACTTTCAAAATCTGCACTACATGTGTCCCAACTATTATATGCCTAAAGATCAGTGCCCCAATAACTTACTTAAATTGTTGAAAATGTACAATCTAAATGGCAAGTTTATAAATAACTGAAGATTTCCATGATTAAAAAAGAGATATATATTTGGAAATAAAATCCTACTTTCAAATTTCTTTAGAATCCCTTCTTGGCCAATAAAAAGGCCATCAGAACAGCTGATAAAATTCAATGACGATGTGTGACTTTGAAGTACCAAATTTTCAATTTTTGCAAATAGCAGTAAGCAACTTAATTATAAATATCAAAGAAGTGAATTCTCTAGCTTCTTGAAACAAATCATTTTAAAAATATACTCTCCAAACCACATCTGTTTTATTGCTGAAATATTAACCAGCAGCATTATTTAAATCAAACAATAATATTTCCTAACAAAGTGAGTTGAGGGGTGGAAGACAGAAAATTCTGAATAAAAACCCATGTTTCTCACCAGGAACAAAAAATCACAACTAAACAAAGGCATGCAGAGAGCCAAAAGACACTTCACCCTTAAGCCCAAGAGAAGTTAGAATATACTGACCTCTGCCATTTCAGGTGACTTGATCTCCTTGATCTTGAAGAAATAGCCCAGGGTCAGGAACGCTATTGCCATGGCACTCACGCTGATCATGAAGACCACCAGGGGGGGCCGACTGCTGACATGCAGCTTCAGGCTCTCCAGGGGGCTGGCGCTCAACATTATTGTGACCAGCTCCACCTGAAAGAAATGGATCATCAGACGTGTAGACTGATTCTCACTTTTGTTTCCTTTAGTAGTGCTGGGTGTTAGGGGAGACACTTGTAGTTGAACCTGAGAAATGACTGACCAATAAATTAATTCAAGGGGCTGGTACTGTGACTCAGTGGAAGAAGAGCAAATGCTTGGCACGTGCAAGGGTCTGGATCCAATTCCCAGCACCAAAATTAATTAATTAATTAATTAAAAGACTAAAAGGAAAAAGCAGTAAACGCTGACTGCTATTGCCTCAAAGTGGTTAGATTTTGAAAGATATGCTCTGTCTTTCTTTCAGACTGAACCATCTAAATATCTATAATGAGCGGGCTGGGGATGTGGCTCAAGCGGTAGCGTGCTCGCCTGGCATGCGTGCGGCCCGGGTTCGATCCTCAGCACCCCACATACAAACAACCATGTTGTGTCCGCCGAAAACTAAAATAAATAAATAAATATTTAAAAAAAAAATAAATAAATATCTATAATGAATACCACTACTTCCATATTACTTAAAAAGATGTTTAAGTATGTCACTGGACAGAAATAAATTAAAAATGTTTTCATTTCTCACCACTAAAAACCTAAATTCTGTGTATTCGACACCATTCTACTGACTACCCCATCACTCGTGTGCACCTGTACCTGGCACACAGTGGGTACTCAATAAATACTAAATACTGGATTTCATCACTCCCCTGCTTAAACAGTCCACCAACCCAGGATGAAGTCTGTGACCGCGCCCGATCTTGCCCTGTGGACCTTTCCAACTTGACCACCATCAGCTCCCCCCACACTGGACTCTGATGGGGACTGCACTCCATCTGAGCGTGGGCTAGGAGTAATATCATCAACAGTGTTGTCTTCTAGTCCACGAGCATGGCTGGGATGCCCTTTCCATTTATTCAGGTTTTCTTTATTTCAACAATGTTTTCCATTTTAGTAGTGTAAGCTTACACTTCTTTTGTTTATTCCTAAGTATTTTATTTTGCTTGAGGTTTTTAAGCATGACCTATTTTGTGACCCTTTACACCTGCCAGAGAAGCTTTTCCTGAGAGCTCACATGCATGTTCTTCAGGACAGCAGGCCTCTGCCCCACGGCTCCCTGACCACACTGACCTGCCCCAGCTCCCTGCTTTGCTCCCTCCACAAGGCTCAGTGTCCACCTGAAATTTCATCACTTGTCCATGCTGTCCCCCCATTGTGAGATCTACTGAAGCAGAGATCTTCTGCCTGTCTTCAGCCCTGCCCCTGGTTCCTAAACACAGCTGGCACACAACCAACAAGTGTGAGCGTACCACATTCACAAAAAACAACCCCTTAAAGTCTGTACCAGTTTTTAAATTTTAGAGACAAAAAGGTAAATGAACAGACTCTAAGAACTCAAAATACACACTTCAGACCAGCCAGGCTGGGCCTCATGTCTTCACAGGAGCTCTCTGAGATGGAAAATAACATTTATCCCCCTCTCCTCAGATGAAAATTCAGTCCTTAAACTGGCAAGTACCATTATCCAAGCATGTTTTCTGTACTTTTACTACATGTATATATGCAAAGATATAATTACTAATACTATTTGAATTTTTTTTTTTTTTTGGAATGACCCACATTCCCAGCCCTTTTGGACTCAACTAAGTTGCTAAAGAACTCGTTTCTGAGGCTGGCCTTGAACTTGCGATCCTCCTGCCTCAGCCTCTGGAGTCACTAGAATTATAGGTATGCGTCAACCCTCATACATTTCCACTTTACATTCTGTTTCTGAGATTTATCTTTTGATCTATGCCCATATGGTCCTCTGAATGTAACTGATACATATCTAAATATAAATGTAGATATAGATTTATATCCAGATGGCTACCTGAGATATATATATATATATATATATATATATATATATATATA